TACAGTTCACTGTCTTCCCTTACATTCTCAGAAAGCTTATCTATTTTTGTAATCTCTACTTCCCCTCATCCAGTCATTTTTCGCCCACCACAATATGGCTTAAGTCCTTATTTACTGCCATGTTGCCAAACTCCAAATAAAAATGAAGCTCTTGAGTTTGGCATTATTCATATTTTTTTCCATTATTTTTTTTCTCTCCTTAAAACATTAATTACCTGGGTTTCAAAACAGTTTACATTAACCATTCTAGTGGAGACCCAACCCTTCTTTGAGCGTTTGAATTCATATGTATCATCTGTATCTGCTGAGCTATGAGAATAATCTACACAAAATGTAAGTCTTACCATATGAATCCTCTGACAGAGTGACTTTAAATGCTAATTGTGTAGAGACGTCCTATCATCTAAAGAGCTAAATCCTAACACCTTAAAATGGAAAGTCAAGTCTCCCTCAATTTGACCTGGACTCTCTCAGTCTCAGCTCTTTGTTTTTCTCATATTTCTCATTACTAACTTTTGGTGCCCCAGATTTTCATCATTGACCTATTATTTTCCTCAGTCAACTATTTCCTGATCAATCTTATCAGCTTTATGGTTTCACCTGTCTTCTAATTACTTCATAGTCAATTCAAATTCACCATGTCAGAAAGTGAAATAGTCTCCTGCCATGTAATTACGTTTCTTTTAATTTACTCACATTTTTTCACTCAAATTTTCATCAAGGTTGATTACTTTTATAACAAACAAATTCCCTTGAAGTCAATTAAATTTAATCAGATCAATACTGGACCTTCTAAGCTTTGTGTCTTAGTCATTCAGTGATGCCTGCTTCTTCCATGCTAAAATCTTGGAGTGCTACTTAAAACCCTATGCATCCAGATGAAGAAAGAAGAGTAACTTTAGAGCATGCCTAAAAATGTTTTTAGTGGGCCCAAACCAGAAGTATTATGCAACATTTTAAAAACCATATTGTACTGGCCAGTACATGATTATAAGGCCAAGCTAATTGCAAGGAAGGATGAAAAATGAGAGTCTTTCCATAAGTTTTGGAAGAAAAGTAAAGGACTCTGTTGAGCACACAGCTTCATCTCACTATAATTGCTAGACAGCAAATGTTTTTTCCTATTTGCTCTTCTAAATAAATCTCAAATCTATTACCACCTCTCTCCTTATCCCATTCTCATCAGTCAGACATCATCGTTTCTTGGAAGAACCACTGTAATGCTCTTCAAAAGGCAGACCTTGTCTTCTGGTGTAATTCCTCTGCTCTATTATCTACACAACTGCAGGAATAATCAAAGTAAAATACAAATTGTATATATCAGGCACTCCTGATTCAATCCATCCAGTAACCATCATTCACAGGGTATAAATGCCATAGTGTGCAAATATGAGATTTTCTGGACATGAACCCCGCCTATTTCATCAGCCTCACCTCTGATCACACATTGTTTTTCACTTTGTTCTCAAAGGACAGTAAAACATTCCATCCAGTGTCTTTGTTCATTCTATTTCTTCCTCTTAATTCCATAACCCTTTGGGTTAAATAAATTTCCTCTCATTAAAACCTGAATAATCTCTGGTACCTGTGTTGATTGCTGATTCACTTTTACATCAATCTGTGTAAATGACTAAATAATTCATTAAACTATGAGAACTTAAAAACAAAGCCTGTGTCTTACCCTTCCTTCCCAGCTCTCATAGATCATACATATTAATCACCTACAAATATTTGCCAAATGATTACATTTGTCCTAAATAGAGACCCCTGTTAAATCTCAGTTCCGGGCTTTGTCCCTCATGCCCTACCTATGTCTTACCTTTCCTTTCCATGGGACTACTTCCAGACTTTGCTTGGTTCACTGGTTGGAGTTTTGTTTTACACGGTCTGGTAACAAAATAATAATTACTGTTCTCTTAAATGTCCCACTTTTACACCCTGTCCATATGATGGGATATTCTAATCCTACGTGAACTTTACATGACATCTAGGCACGAAGCCCCTCCAAGCTTTCTAGAAGTTTTTTCTTACCAAATCAGTTTCTTGTAATTCATGCCCACCTTGTAGAATATATTTCTGCTGGCTTCTTTCTTGTTCATCCAACCTCAGATACTTCTTTGTACTCATTCAAATAAGCAATAACTGTCTTGCAAGTAAGCCTATTTTATATTCCAACAATAGATACTTAAAAGATGTGCATCTGTACCACGCAGTGGGATCAAGTGTATAACCATGATAATCATACTAAACAATACAAAGAAATTCAATTGGAGCAAGGAAAGAATATGGGCAGTGAACTAAATGGAATTTCCTGTTCTTCAGTGTATTGTAAAACCATCCATGGTAATTATGATCTGTACTTTACAAAGCAGCCCAAAAAAATCTATTGAGGAGGAAAGCATGGTCTACTTATTCTTCCTTCATTGAATTTTGGTCTCATTTCAAATTGATAAAGCCAAAGTGTCTTCCAATATCTTGATTGATAGCTTTCAAATTTGCATTCAACACTAAGTATATTAGTTGTACTGTAATTGTACTCACAAAGAGTACATCAATTTTCATTAACTAGTGCCAATGAATTATGTCAAATTATTGAGAAGAAGAACACAAGTGTATAGCTTAAAATGCCAGGATGTTTCAATAAGTTCCTTTTATATGTTAAAAACATTGAACTGCTTAATTTGAAGTATAACAACACTTTTCTTAAAATGAAAATGGAGAAAATAAAGCACTAAAATATATAAATTTTGAGATACTTTGGAAAACTCTTATTTACTTTGTGTTTTATTGAAGAGAACACTTGTAGGCTTCATTGGAGGGATTTTTTATTTGTCTAATAGACAAAAAACTAATTAAAATTATATAAATATATGATTACATATATGCACATTCATAAAAAATTAATATTTGGTTAAATGTAATATGTACATGTTGACAAAATAGAATTTCCATTAACTCAAAAGACAACAAATCCATTTCCTAGGCTAAGCATTATAGTTTGGCCAGTCTTGCTACAGACCCTAATATTGGCTATTCATCTCTGTCAATTATCTTTATACATACTATCTTTTCCAGGATTTATGAGTAGAACAATTAAAATCCAAATGAAGCTAGGTGCATTAATTTTGCCTCATACAACATACATCACTAAAGATAAATAGCCCTTCTTGAATTAATTGGGAAAACAGAATATAAGAGAAAGTTTGCTGATAGAGTCTATATTCAAACATCTTACTGAATTAAAAATAACCCTGGTGTGAGGAAATGATTAATCAATGCCACTGTTTTTGCATCTCAAATGATCCTGAGTTCAGGCCATATTCCATCATTGTCTATTTCTGAACCCTGTAAACACACACACATACCCTGAAGTAAAGGTTTTTTGAAGGTAATTGCTCAGAACTCAGAGAACATAAACTTAAATAAATTGTTTATGACTGGCTAATATAAGAACATTTACATTTCACCTATATAAAATATAACAGGTAAGCTAGAACTAGTTGAGGTTCTTGAAGTTTCTTTGAGCTCTGAAGTTTCCAAGGAAAAAGAAGAAAGGTAGAAAGAGTGCTTTATCTCCAAAGGTTTGATCCTGAAGAAGATGGAGAGGAGAAAGAGTGTAGGAAGTAGTTCTGGGAGCTTCCATGAGAAAAGCAAGTGATAGCTTCAAATAAAGAAATTAGCAAAGAATTGTGAATATTATCACTATTCTTATTGAGGTTAAAAGTGTATTAACAAACCTTCATAAAATTTTTCAGCGTATGGTCGAGGTAGCATCTGCTCTGTTAAAGCTTCTCAGGTCTCTCAACATAGTCGCAGAGATATTGATTTTCTGTGTTCTTCTATAACTGTCCTATTTTATGAGCATCTTTCTTATCACTAGATTGAACTCAAATTATATTAAATTTTCTGTCATATAGAATCTAAAATCCTTGAGGGCAGGGACTGTGTCCTTCTCACCCTTACATCCCTTTCTCTAACATTACCACCACTGTCCTGGTACATAGCACCATGGGAACATTCAATACACACATGGTGTTTGAATGGTGAAGACACAAATGAATATATGTGTCAGACTGAGGAGAGAGTGGGGAGCCAAAAGAAGTAGGTGTTGCTAATTCAAATTCTTAGTAGGTTCCCAAGGCAACAAAATTGTAGCAATTAAAAAATATTGTATTAAAAAAAACTATAAGATGAGCTACTGGAATGATGATAAACAAAAGTCAATGCAACAATTGGTCACAGAGAGAGAAGAGATAATGGAGAATTAAATTCCCTGGCTCAAGGGTGGGCCTTTTTCAATTCCATTATATGGTAACACAGGGAGATTTGGGATTCTATTACTATATGTGTCAACTTCAAAGAAGAGTCAAAGATCTTTTTAGTCAGGCATCGCTCAATACCTGAGATACAGTTCTGAGTAATGTGACCTTGGGTAATTTTATCAGTGCCAGTCAGAGAGGGTATAAGCACAGCTGAGATAGTATAGTCTACTCCATGTGTGGGCTCAATGGTATAGTGTATTGTTCAGGCTACAAATCTGTACAGTGTGTTACTCTTTAAATATTGTAGACAATTGTGAAATAGTGGTAATCATTTGTGTTTCCAAACATCGAAAAGATTCAGTCAAAATATTATATAAAGGATAAAAAAGAGTTTCATCTGCATAAGATGTTTACCAAGCATAGATCTTGCAGCCCTGAAAGTTGCTCTGAGGGGATGGTGGGGGGGATGTGAAGATAACACTGTGCATTTAGACTATATTAAAATTATTTTAAAAGTCCTTCAACAATTAATTAACCTTTATTTGTTGTAACATTTTGCTTTGTAAACTTTAAAATTTTTATTGATTAAAAGTAAATAAATGACAGCAGAATGCATTACAATTTTTATTACATGTATACATCAAATATTTTAACTCTTGTAATATCATTTAGCTTAAACTACAAGCAAATTGTACAACAGTACAAAAATGTTTTCCTTTTTTTTTTTTCAATATATAGTGTTAGCGTCCCGCCCCAATCCCTCCACAAATCTGGAACAGAGGCAACCAGCATTTTAATCATCTCTGAAATGACTGACAGCATGAGTCAGTACTTCAGGAATTTCAGTTTCATCCCAGGTAGGATGCTATTTGAATATTGCAAGCCAAAGTAGAAGAATATTCAATCCATTTCCCAAGTTATTGAATTCAGAAGCATGCTAACAATGGCTTATATATAATTATTTTAAGTCTTCCATTATATCCTCTCTAGTTTCTTCTCCTAGGAGTACTCTGACGGCACAGAAAGAATCCGTTCAGGTGTCAAGATCTCAATAGTTCAAATGTTCCTGTCATTTCCCTGTTACTTGGATCCCTTCTGCTGAGTGACTGCAGCCTACTACATTTCCCACAAGGCTTTGTGACTTTTGTTCCACCCAGCCAGCTTTGTTTCCCACCCTCCCTAGAATCTGACAGGCCAGAGAAAAATCTGATTTCAAAGAGATGCTTACACTCTGTTCTGATGCCATCTAGGAATGTAAATTCTCAATGTCACACTGCTAAGTGGAGAAAGGTAAGAAAAAAATGTTACAGGTCTTTATCTTTTTTTAATGTTTTAAAATATTTTAAAGAGACAGAAATGTTTTATTTTTAGAAATGTCTTTGTCACTTATTTTTTGGCTCCATCTTTGCAAATCAAAGTGCAATATATTTTTTGAACGAAAACTCTGGAATGTGTTCTCCAAATGTGACACCAGTAAGACTGTAAAGAATATTGAGGGGAATCCTCCATACGCCTGCAAGGACTGTGAACCCCACTACATGGATCTGAACATAAATCTTGCACAAAAGGAAAAACAAACTCTAAGGAAAAAATTAAGCTGCTATCTTGCCTGACTGATATGCCAGGATAGCAATGCAAAGACAAATAGATACATTTAAGTGAGGCTAGAGATTTAATTTCTTCACAACTGTCATCAGAAAGTATGTGTTAAGTTTCTCTTCTGAAGTCATTTCCTGATAAAAAATTATTTTCACACATTGTACATAGGAATTAATATTTTAGACAAAAATATATTATTTTTTAATTAGCTACAGCAAAATTAATCACTGTTAATAGCAAGTTTTTTTGAAAACTAAATCTGAATAATCCTTTTTTCCAACTAATGTAGATTGTGGTTCTATTTTAAATATATGCACTTGAAGATTATGCTTGCTTCTTTATTGCCTGGGGTTGATATAAAACTGCTATATTGCAATATACCATGTATGTGGTTAACCTAGTTGCAAACCATTAAACAATTATTTAGTAATTAGCAGTGTTTCTCTGAAAGGAATGAGATGCATGCATCATTTATTTTTAATGCAGATTTGCATAATTAGAGTAATATGCAATTTGATCTACAAATTAAATGCAAAATACTTAATCTACACCAGAAAGTTGTGCTCTGAAGTTGTATAACTGTCCATGTGTGGTCATTTACCTTTTACTCCCTTCTCCCAAAGTATAAGGAAGTAATCCCATAAAGAACACTTAGAAAAAAGGGAATGGTAAGAAACAATGAAAGCTACAAAGAAGCCCTGAGTTGGTCAATAGAGTCCCACATCTCCAGGCAAGTTGAAAAACCAAATTTGTATCCTACCTGCTTTCTCTGGTCTATGCCTTTGATAATGTGCATAATTAACAAAATAGTCCTAAGTTGCAAAAAAAAAAAAAAAAGAAGAAGAAGTTTATATGCCTAGATTATTGAAAAAGTTGGTAGTAGAGTATGTCTAAAAAGTCAAGAGGTAGCTTTTTCCAACTTTTAATTAGAGAATCTTACAATCTATCTTAATAAAGATTCATGTACCTGGCAAGAGATCAGAGTAATATACACTTAATAGTCTTTTTTCTATTTAGCTTCAATGTGCTATAAGAAGAAATCTTACCACTTTATTCAGAATTTTATCATTTCATTCTACTCAAGAATTTAGCACTGTCTACATTATCAGACCCAACTTTCATAGATTTGTCAAGGCCTTCACATGCTAGCCCTTACTTCTATGAAAACCAAAAACAAAACCAAAAGATAGTGATGATGGTGACACAAATAATAGTGCTAATAATTTCCCTAGATATTGCATTTAACATCTCACACCATCCCATCTAATTCACCTGGGTTAAAAAATAATTGAGAAAATCAGGTCAGTCAGAGGTAATCAAATATGATCAAGTGTTAGGTTTCATAGGATCAAATTTAACCACATCCAAGGTTATGTGTTATGAAGCTGAGTTCTTAACACTCCATCATCTTTAAAACATCACAATATTCCAAAATTGTGAAAAATCTCAAAAGCTTACTTATCTCTTCTCCCTCTAAACTAATCAGAACAAATGTATCTACATATTTAATATAGATTTAGTTGCTTTTGTCTTTGTGTCCTACTTCCTTCTGTTTCCTCTCTAAAAGTGCATACCTTGTCATGTAGTTAAATATATTTTCTCTTTCAAAGCATGAGTTACATGCCTGCCATCTCAGTCCCCTGCTGTTCCACCCCACATGCATACCTCAGACTGAATTCATTTGTATTCCCATGATGCCTAGCACAGAGATATAAAGATAATTATCTCCCAATAAATGTATTTCCTGAAAGCATTAATAGTAAAGACACAAATAATTCATTGTAAAACAAAGAATGCTGTTAGGAACACTTGATTTCTTGTTACAAAGGGTTAGTCTGCTGCCAGACATATTTCCTATGCCAGATTTTCCACCAGCAACACAATTTTCAAAAAGATTTTCATTCACTTTCAGAGTGTCCTTGGTCTATATCCAAATTCTTTCTTAAGAGCTTCCAAATTTAATTCTAATTTCAAGAGCTCCTGCAGAATACCAGCAGGATAAAGCAAGAGCAGAAATTCACCTTGCCTGGAAATGGAACCCATTTTAATCAGGAAGCCACAAAGGGGGGGGGGGCTGTCCTGAGGTTGCTGCTTTATCAGGAGCAGCCAAATCCAGCTCTCTTCTTATTTCTCCTAACATTCCTCTGGGTTCCCCTCGGGCTTGGGTCTGTCCCCACCCCTGAGTGTAGTCTTGGCTTGGCTATGATACTAAATGAGAGTCCTTCTTGAGAAGGTTGTGGATTCATTACAGTTCCAGTCAAGTTTACTGAACACTATTTCAATATCTTTGCCAAAATCCTAAACTCATAACACTCAACTCCTGTTTTGGCTCTCTGGCTATTACTGAAAGGGCACGCATGACTGAGCTGGGGATGAGGAGGTCTGCTCTGGTCCATACACTGGTTGGCTGGGTAGCTCAGTGCCATTTTTTTGTATCAGCCAATAATGGGCATGTAACTATCACTTTAAGGATGCCAGCTTAGATTGATTGCATAATTACATTTGTAGAAAAGATAGCATAGGATAGTGATTGAATGGACTATGGAGTCAGACTGTAAGTTCAAGTCTCATCTGTGGCACCCACAAAATGTCTGACCTTGGATCACTTATTTAACTTCTTGATATCTCAGTTCTCAGTTATAAAAAGAGGATAGTAGTAGATCTTCTTCGTAAGTTTTTCAGTGGAAATTAAATTGAGTTAATATATGTCTAGAATGTAAAACAAAACAGGTATTCAACAATATAGTTAATGTTGTTTAATTGATGCTTGATGAGTGAGTAAATAAACTGATAACTTTTTGTGTAATAGTTCTTTTTACTCAAATCCTTTCTCACTGAAACAGAAAATTCATGAAAGGCAAATGGTTGTTATTACTCATATTTATACATACCCTGAACTTTACAAGAGGATGAAGCACTAAATGTGCATAGTAACTGCTATGTGGATCAGTAGAGGGTAAGGAAGGAAAGATTTAAAAGTTGTAGATGTCCAAAAAGTAATGAGAGGACTATTATTTTGGTAGATATGTACCCTGACCCATTAATGTTGAAGTTACACCCATGGCAATGGCTGTCCTTGAAGTGGAAAGAGAAATTCTGAATCAAGTCATAAAGTTCTTAGAACAGAAAACATATGAACCAAACTATGACATTGGAATGGAGATTGGTTATATGGCTCTCATGGGTCCCATATGAGAAGGGGTTCCCCTCCCAGGAAGGATTTTTTTGTGAAGAGGAAGTTATGTTGTTTGGTAATAATTATGGAAACAAAGGGAAGCCAACATTTTTCATACAGTATGATGTGTGAAGTATCTATTTCAGATGACTACCTATTTTTTTCTTTTCTCAAATGTATTAAAACAATTTTTAAAATAGAACTCTAGATTTCTTCCATTTCTTTCACAAAAAAATATGTGAAATAATAACAACAGTACTAATGGGCTGATCATACACCCCTGGAGTTCATGTTGAAGTATTATCATCCAGTTAGAAACGTTAATATGAGGTCATTAGCGTATCACCAATCTAATATGACTGACGTCCATAGAAAAAGAGGAAATTTGACAAAAAATTAGAGGATGAAAACTAAGAGAAGACACAGGGGGGAATAGATAGTTATGTTTACTTTATGTCTGAGATAGGTCTCAGAAGCTGTCAACTCCATTGGCATCTTGATCTTGGATTTCGTAGACTTCTCTAAGATTTATTCAGAAGTAAAATCAACCTTACTCTCCAGATCATAACACACAATTATCCCATAAAGATGGCTGCAGAAGAGAGAGACAGTGGATCTTTCTCATTTCTTCTGTAAAGTCAGATATGACAAAGAAGAGAAATTAAGTGTATCTATCCAAAGGGGCATTTCATTCTCCCTGTGGTCAATCAGACTACAAAGCCAACGTGTCTATGCACAGGGAATGGATGAACTGGCAAGAGAAGAGATAATGTTGAACCTGTCTGCTTTCTTAGCAATTGGCGAAGCAGAGCAGGGCTGTGGCTGTTTTCCATGGGTTGGCATCCCATAGGGCAGCTGGACTTTAGCATGTTTGCTTGAATTCAGTACATTTGATACCAGCTGTAAGAGGCTGAGGTGTGTGTTGCTGGTGGTAGAAGATGAAGCAACAAAAGAGGCAGCATTAGAGTTACATCCCCCAAATATGAGGTTCTATAGTTAGAGGGCTCATAATTGCCACGTGAAAGCTTCATACCAAAGCCTGATAATATACAGAATTTGGATGCCCACCACCCAGAAGATACCAGCTGCCAAGCAATATTTGCCAGAAAAGTGACAACAAATCCAAGTTGGGAAAGATGAAACCTATTTCTTTGCCTCTTGTTTCCAACAATTTGAATGAGCTTGTAGTGAGTATAGGAAAAAAAGGAGAGCTATAGGGCTATGAATCAGATATAAGATAGGAGCTTTAAACTATAACCTTAAGAGAGAAAATGATCAGAAAATTAAGAATGCTTTCCAGTAAAGTTTTAAGAAGCCAAAACTGAATTAAACAGAAAACAGATCAGAGAAAAACAGCATTTTTATACCACAGATACAAGACTACTTAACATACTACTACAGTTTATTAGTTTATTATGTTCATTCCATAGGACTCCATTGTTACCCATGTATCCACATTCTTTAAGAACAGTGTCTTCCCCTAATAGAGTAGGGTGATCAAAGCATTTTGCATTTT